CAAAACACATAATCGCGAGCTCCTTGGAGGAAGCAAAAAGCTCAGCTCCTCCTGTCTGTGGCCTCCCTGCTCCGACTTCAGAGGCAGCTGCTCGCAAGGCGGGGTGGGGACAGGCCCACTGGAGTCCTCACGGGAAGGCTTTCCCAAGTCCAGGGGATGGGAGTCAGGAGAACTTGGGCGTTTTCCACAAGAGGCTGGGACCGGGTGACAGCGATTAAAGGATATGTTGTCTGTGTCCAAGGTAGTTATTAATGGATGCTTTTTTCAGAAACCACAGACAGGGGAGAAAAGAAACCAACGATCACTGAAAATTGACCATGTGCCAGGAACCTCTATGTGCTCATCCCTTACTAGGAGGTGCTCTATATTTATTCTAAAGAGGACACTCTCATGATGAGTAGAGGAGGGGACCCCAAATGCATCCTTGGAAGCAATTTTACTTTCCCAGAATACCAAACAAGACAGGGGCCTGGATAAGGATATGCTCTGAGCCATGATCTGGGGGTACCTGCAACCCAGCGGGCGCTGCTGAATATTTGTAGAACGGATGCCCTCTAAGGTCTCTCCCAATACGGATTTCTCTGATCTTATTTATAGGAGAACCAAGGGCAGCAGAGTCATCCAGAGCTCCTGGGAGCAGCACCTGCTCCAGGCAAGCCTTGTCCGCAGGCGCAGTTTCTCACGAGGATGGCAGTGATTAACTCCATGTGCACACAGTGCCAACAGCACAGTGAAATCCAGCACTGTGACGGCTCAATTAACAAATGCTCTGGAAATGGAGTTTCTTTATAATGGAGTTGGCCGTTCTGCCCCAAAAGCCACCGTAAATCACGGGGCTGTTGGTGCGTGCTGCGTGGCTCACAGCAGTGCTGGGAAGCTAGGAAGGGAGACGCCCTCACGTGGCTCCCGTCTGTCCACTGTCCGTGAGCAGGGCCAACCCTGGGTCCATTCTAAGGTCTTGCTTGGTCCTTGGTTCCCCCTTGGTGGTGGACCCTGCCCGCCCCCCTTCTTTCTGTGGACATGACACACCTGTGCAGGTCTGGAGAGGATGCAGCCAGGCCTGACCCCTGCATGCCCTCACCCCCAGCCATTCCTATGGCGTTGCCCACTCTGGCTTGGGGCTGGGACCCAAAGATGAATCAAGGTGGTTCCCATCCTCAAAGAGCCCAGTCTCTTCCCATCTCCAGACATGGATCCCCATCATCTCCTAGAGTTCGGGCAATGCTGAGGCAACACACCGCAGTATTCCCAACCATCCATGTCTTTAGGTGGCAGGTGGAACCGACAATGAGGAGGAAGTGCCTCGTGTTTCGAGAACAATGAGGAACAGGTCTAAGTACAAATCTTTCCTATGATGAGCTGCACCAATTGCTCCCAGGGAAGGAGAGGCCTTCCACGCATCCTTCCACAAGTGGAGCATGACAAATGCCTGGACAGGGCAGAGGAGCTGGCTGTGCCTAGTGTAGAGTGACAGCTGTTCACACCGCTGGCTGCGGCTCTTCCCTTCCCGGGGAGTCTGCTCTCCAGGTTGCCCGCAGTTGACACAGCGGCCGGGTCTGGTGTGGCCTTTGCTTAAAACCACCTCCCAGGCCCTTCCACTCCAGCCACTTACTACTGCAGCATGTGTCCTTCTTCACTGGGGAAGGACAGAGCAGGCTTCCTCGGTAACAGCCTCCTGCCTTGGGAGGGACAGATGGCCCTAAAGTGCCAAGCAGAAGCTCAAGGTCATAGACTTGATATGCCCAGGCCAACAGAGAGAGGCAGCACCCAGCTGCAGACCTGCCCACGATCACAGAGGAATAGCCCACAGGCTGAGACACAACCCCAAAGGCTAAAAGCACCTGACCACCTGTCATCTCAGTTCAGATCAACACTTGGGATTGAAGGCCTAAAGCAAGGTATGGAACACAACAATGGGGAAGCCAGAAAGTGCCCGTGCTCCCAGCCCAGGTGCACCCAGGCCTGAGCAGGCAGCCCATGATGGCGTTCTGCAGTCGCCCAAGGTCCCACGGCAGGTTTGAGACCTGGGACGTGCAGCTGGGTAGGGAGCAGGGCTCCAGGCTTGGGTGACGAGTACACATGGAGCCAGAATAGATGCTCGGGAATAAGGACAGGAGCAGAGCCGAGCTGACCGGACAGGGACGGCAGGGGGAAGGAGTGTGGGCAGGGCAGTGGACAAGGGCCCATAAGAGGAAGGTGGTGGCAGCAGCAGCACAGTGGCCAGCAGTCGGCTCGGCACACAGCACCTACGCCAGTCCACAGAAGACAGGCCCAGGATTCAGGCAGGGTGGAGGCTGGGGATGGGGCAATCAGGACCTCAGCAACAGGCAGGGAAGGGGGCAAGCTTCAGGGGACCAGGCAGGGTCAATACCCACTACCGTTCTGGGGTCCTTTCCCCACGTCCCACCTGACTCGTGGAGCAGGAGGCACAGGATCTGCCCAGGTGCTGGTTTTACACGCAGCTGCTCGCCAGGTCGAGAGGGGGCCCAGCAGGGCTGGGGTGGCGTTGGGATCACCATCCAGTGTGCTGCATTCCTGCTCTCAGGTAGGAAACTTGTCCCCTGTCCCCAGCCCCGAGTGCCAGTGATAGTAATTAAGGCCACACCAAGGCCTGCCCCCCCTCCCCCTCCCCAGGGCCTCCTGCTCCCTTTGGTACAACGAGGCTCTGTCACAGTTCTCTGGTACCACAGTGGCACAGCAAGAACTCCGGCTGGGCTCTAGGAACGCCAGGCAGCGAGGCGCCACGGAAGGGGTGGCCCAAGATGCTCTGGTTGGATCTCTGAATTCCAGTGGTGGCCCAGGTTTTTTAATCCCACTTTTGAAACGACTGTCTCACTTGATGGGTCTCCCACATGGAGCCTGAATTAGCTGTGTTCCGCAGTAAGGGGTCTAGCCCACCTTCCCACACCCACCTGGCTCCTCACAGCTGTCTCGTTTGGCTCAGACTCCACCACACTGTCACAGCCTCCAGGAACTGCAGAGCCGTAACCACACGGTGGCTGACACTTTGACAAATTACTAAAAGCCCAGCTAATAGGACTAAAGCACTTGCTCTAAGAAAAGTCTGTTTTATCTATATTTAAGCCCAATATATCCTTGGATAACTCAACTGACAAAAGTGCAAACCCATCTAAGGATGGCAGATGAACTGACAGAATCTGCAGATGAAAGGAAGCAGGTCAGCCCGATTCGCCACCCCATCAGCACATCCTGGAGAGAGTCCAGGTGGTGCCAGCTCAGAAGCAAAGAGGAGAGAAGCGGTAATTACAACTGCAGCATCACCACATCTCCCAGAAGGAAAAGAAACGAAGGCATCTTTCAGACGTTCACGCGTCAAACACGAGGTGCTTACCTACTACGTGCCCGGCACTTTCAGGCATAACTGCTCCCCAAGCCCCAGGATGTGCTACACCCCGCTTGCGTAGATGGAAAGACCAGTTCTGTGGCCCTGCAGGCCTGTCCACCAGACCGGCTTGCTCTCTGAGGGAAGGAGAGAACATGCTACCTGCATGACAGATGTCAGGCAATGCTCCTGCACCAGCCAGGGAGAAGCCTGCTCCCACCTGCCGAGCCGGGACTGGGGTCTAACTGGGCAGCAGCCCCAGCCTGCCAAGCCCCCAGCAGTGTGCATTCAGCCAGGCCGCTGCCTCTCCTTCCAACCCAGCTCCAAAGTGAGGCCTCGTGGGCTCTCTTCCTGAGGAGGAAGAAGGGCTGTGGCAGCTGGAAGGAAGAGAAAGAGGATGGTGGGGCCAAGCCACCTTTATGTGCAGTCTCCATGGTGCAGACGGCACAATGGAGGTGCTTAGAGAACACGACTGAACAGGCCTCATCAAGGTGTCAGGTGGCACCAGCAGGCTCCCGAGCCTTCTGCTCTGGGGTGTGAGGGGAGAGTCCTTTGCCCAGCCCCCACCACCCCTACTTCCCGTTGCCTAGGGAGGCTGACCTGCAGGCTGAAGTCAAGCCAGACTACAGGTGGGAGATGAGGAGGCTCCTGTAAGAGTCCCAGCAAGATCATGCTAGGACAAGAGTTATGGTCTTAAAAGAAAACAGGAAGTGTAAATGGAGACACTTCATAAGGCAGATTCATTTGACAAACTTAGAAAGGAACGATTGTGTGTTTTGTTTTGCTTTTTAGCCCAAATGATTGGGAAACACAAATGGAGAGGCGGTTTGGAGGGTACGTAGGGGAACTCTGTCTCAGATGCATTGAATTTCAGGTGGCAGCAGATGGTCCATGTAAAAAACGTCCAGCAGGATGGACACAAATTAAAAACAGAAAGAGGCTACAAATTGGGTCCTTTTTGTTTGTTTTGTTTTGTTTTTCAAGACTTGGTGGTTCCTCTACTGGCATTACTTCTTCATTCTGCTACCTTGATAATATGGCAAAAATATCGAGGGAGATGGCAGAATGATGAAAGGATGAAAAAATATTTCAAGAAATACTCTAGAACTATTTAATAAAATTCAACTCCTGTGCCCAATAACACCACAACTAGATTAGATATAATACCAATGCTGGCAAGGGTGCAAGAATTGGCATTCTCACACGTGCTGGAAGAAAGAGCCCTTTTGGAAAGCAACTTGGCATCGAGAGCCATAAAGTGTTAATATCTTGACCTGTAATATCACTTCTAGGAAACATTCAAAAGCAAGCAATAGGTATGTGATGAACAACTGAGGATATTTAGTACATGAAGATGCACATTAACTATAATGGTGAAAAACCGGAAGCCACTTAAATATCCAACCATAGGGGGAAAATTAGGAGCATTACAGGCTCTTGGTGGAATTATTACACAGGTATTAAAATGTTATGAAGACTATGTAGTAACAGGGAAATCCTTTTTTTTTTTCTTGCCATTTGCCATCATTTCAAATGAAAAACAGGATATAAAATGATCACAATAACTCCTCTGTTAAGAAAGCAGGATTTGGGGTACACATTGCTTTGGATGAAAACAGAGCAACTGGAAATGTTAAACTCAGTCGGGGGGAGGTACCTTGGCTCCATCCACACTGATGATGCGATAGCTGTTCCTCGTGACATCGTAGAAGTAGGAGACGGTGACGGCCTGCTTGCTTGCAGGCACCCAGTTCTTCTTGGTGCTGGGGTCAATCTGGAAGACGTGCGCTCGGGTGGTGAAGATGGGCTGTTCTCTGCAACGGGAGGGTGGGGGCGTGAGAGTTGGCAGAACATGACTTAATGTATAATTTATGATTTCTAGGCCACCTACTGCCCCAAAAGATTTTAAATAGCTTATGGAGAAAGATACATATGCATGAGGACAATTAAAATAAGAAAAGGGAAGAGAGAAGGAAAAAAAGAGACACCAGTGAGTAGTTTCCGCAGCCCACACTCCATTGAGCTGCTATTACCCTGAGGCTGCAGGGCCACTGGCCTAACGAGCAATTGGCTTAAGACAGCTCCTTGTTGAGCGTTTTTTTTTTGCATCCTGTCAAGCAAGTGTCCTATTCTTTTTTTTTTTTTTTTTTTTTTTTTTTTTTTTTTTGACATCCTGCTGGCATTTTTAGGATTTGGGAACAAATTTATCTTCGGGGATTCTGCAACAATTTTAGGATTTTGCAATGCATTTGCAGCTTAATATTATAACTCTATTAAGTACTTCTCAAAGTTGCAGCATTTTATGAATGGTGGAATTGTTTTATAATATCCTTGTAGATATCTCTTTAGACTGCTTCCAGAACCATTTAACAACTTCATCAAGCCTTCAGGTTTTATGTTTCCAACACGTAAACCTTTTGAGTTTTATGTGGAATTCACCAAATCCATCTCTTGCTGCTCTTGCCTCCGTATTGTTGCTTCTTCACTCCACACGCCTGTAAGATCTTTATGTAATTATCAACCAAATTAGCACATTACCTATGTTTCTTTCTGTTGAGTGGAGAATTAGATTTTGACAACACGCATTAAGAAATAAAGCAGATGAATGAAAACTGTAATGATTTCACCACACTTCACATTTTAGTGTATTTACTTCACAAAGCAACACAAAATGAAACAGACTCATTACAAAAAATATTTTTAAAGAAAGGGTCCTTAGACAAACTGGCTCAAAAGTCCTTTACATCTTAGAAATCAGATGAAAAATAGAAAAAAAAAATCCACCACCAGCATGTAAGCCACCACCAGTCCCATTATTCATAAAATGCTATAGATTTACTCAGTACTTATTAGAAATACAAAATTAAAAAGGTAACAGACTAATTTTTTAAATCCTTACAATGTCAAAAGAGATGACGTAAAAGAATAGGACACCCAAGTGGATACAAAAATCAAAAGGGAAACAGGAATTTTCAATGTTCTGGACTCTAGACGGAGTGGTTTTAGGTGACGCAGTCTTTGCGTCCATCCTGACTATAGATGGCTCATAATGAGAAAGAAAGCCCTTAGGAGAGACTCTTTCATCGAAGAACAATTTACCATTTGTCCGCCATGCAAGGGATGCTGAGTACCACCATGGACATCAGCATCAACCATCAGCTGTGGTTTCAGACAGAGGCAGAGGCCTTCCTGACTGTCTTCTCCAAGGGCCTGCCACTTCAATCCCATGCAGCCGTCTCCGGGGGCCAGCAGCGTCCCAAAAGAACGGGACAGAGACTGGCATCCCTGCTCCCCGTCACTTCCCTTCTAGCTCCCCTGTAGCAGGATAAGGACCTCCAGGGACGTGGATTACCAGGACATTTCTCTTCCCTTAACAGGAACCAAGTCCACTCAGTCCTAAACCAACACCCTTCCAGGGGCTGAGTGACAGCTGCAGAAACAAAAGGAATGTCCTCACTGATTTCCCAAGTCTGCTGTCAAGAACGGACCGTGGGGAGCGCGTGCACACAGACGCAAGCCCCACTGTCAAGAACGGACCGTGGGGAGCGCGTGCACACAGACGCAAGCCCCAAGACCAGGTCCGCATGAGGCAGCCTGGTGCCCAGACCACCCAGCTGTGCCACCCTCAGCCCAGCACACTGTGCTGATCATCTACGTATAACGCGGCCTCACACAGTGTTCTCTTGCAAATGTAAGAGGAAGGGCAGTAACCACAGAGAATTTTTTGGAGAATCCAATTATGCTAAAACGTCTTCCTGCTCTCGAAGAGCAGTGAGCAGGCGGGAGGGCAGCAGGTCAGGCTTTCAGACCTTCCCTCTCACTCCCTACACTAAGGAGGGACTGGGTCCGGGTTTTCATGCACTTAGACAAGTGTCTCCTCACCCTTGGGGACAGGAATTAGCTGGGGCGCCTACTAAAAACACAAGTTCCTGGGCCCCGTCCCAGCCCCCTCAACCTAGCTCTCCAGGGAAGGGGCCTGGTGGGCTCCAGGTGACTTTTATCCTTAAGGAAGCTAGGTAGACGCTCGAGTTAGACAGTATCAGATGATCTAGAAAAGAAATGGAAGCAGCTCTGACAGCCAGCAATTCTCCAGAATGAGACGGCTGACCGTGAATGACACAGAACTCAAGAAAGTCCTCCCACAGCTTTCAGGGGCCAACAGTGTGACCAAGGACAGGATTTCCGGATGCAAAAGATGGGGAGAGGGTGTGAAGGGAGGCAGAGGTGCTCTGGTCAGGGAGGAGGGTAGAGACTAGGGTAGCTGGTGGTGGCCCAGCAGTGGCCTTCTGTAAGCGCTTTCTGTCCCCAAGGCCCACAGGAGTGAGGAAAGCAAAGCAGGGAGCCAGAGGGGAGAATGAGGAAGCAAAAGGAGACAGCAGGGCTTGCTGACCAGGTGCAAGCAAAGCAGCAGGCGTCTGCTGGGCAGGACGCAGGCCAACGTGCGCACGCAGCAAGGGTTCCATCTCCAGACCTGCCTGCTTAGCTCTGCAGATGGACAAATTCATCATTGGGTGCCCTCGGGACCCCAACAAGAACCGCAAGGATGCCAGGAGAGCACAGTGCCTCAGCTGGCACATTCTCAGTCACCACAGTCAAGCCATCCACCGGGGAAGTGGCTGCTCCAGCGTGGGGGTGTGTGCAGAGACCGGCAGGGGCACTGCAGGCAGTCCTGCCAGCCCTGTCCTGAGGGTGCTCCCCTCCTGACGCCAGAGACCTGGGTTCCTTAGTCCTGAGGCCCTGGGAAACCGGGGAGGGTGTGCACCGCCAGGCTGGCAGCAGCTCTGTGCCCACGGCACTAACTACCCACAGGACTGGGATTTCCACGTGAATAGCTAAGCCTGAGGGCACTGGGGGGGTTCCATTTACTGTCCTTCTAAAATTAAAAAACTCTATGGCATTTCAAGAAAAGGCAAATTAAAAAGGGGGGGGGCAAGAATGAAAAGCTCATAACTGACATTTGCTGAGTGCTTACCATTCTGCTAGGCTTGCTCTCCCACTGGATCATAACAATCCTATGGGGAAGGAGCCATACACGTGGGAAACAGGCTCAGAGAGGCCAAGCAACCTGCCTTGGGTCATGCAGTAAGTGACAGATCTGAGATTTGAAGTCATTTCCAAGTGACATGGCAACCCTCCCACTTAACCATTATGTTATACTCTCTTCCTAAAATGACAGCTTTGGATGTGGCTCCCAGCAACCTCTACCTTCTAGTGTTCACGCCCTTAGGTAGTCCCCTCCCCTTGAGTGTGGGTGGGACCTGTGACCTGCTCTTAACCAACAGAATATGGCAAAGATGACAGGATGTCATCTGTGCGATTACATTACATAGGACTGTGAATTCTGACTCCTAGGAGACTCTCTTGCTTTGGTGAAGCAGGTTGCCACATTGGGGAGATCCATATTGCAAGGAACTGAAGAAGGACTCAGCCCACAGCCAGTCAAGAACCAAGGCCTTGCCAGGCTCAGCGGTTCACACCTGTAATCCTAGCACCCTGGGGGGCCGAGATGGGAAGATTGTCTGAGCTTGGAGATTTAAGACCAGCCTGAGCAAGAGCAAGACCCCATCTCTATTAAAAATAGAAAACGGGCCTGGCGTGGTGGCTCATGCCTGTAATCCTAGCACTCTGGGAGGCCGAGGAGGGCGGATTGCTTGAGGTCAGGAGTTCGAAACCAGCCTGAGCAAGAGCGAGACCCCGTCTCTACTAAAAAAATAGAAATTAATTGATCAACTAAAAATATGTATACAAAAAATTAGCCGGGCATGGTGGTACATGCCTATAGTCCCAGCTACTCGGGAGGCTGAGGCAATAGGATCACTTGAGCCCAGGAGATTGAGGTTGCTGTGAGCTAGGCTGACACCATGGCACTCACTCTAGCCTGGGCAACAAAGCGAGACTCTGTCTCAAAAAAAATAAATAAAAAAAGAAAAATAGAAAACATTAGCCAGGCATTATGGTGCACATTCGTAGTCCCTGCTACTCTGGAGTCCGAGACAGGAGAATCACTTAAGCCCAGGAGTTTTGAGGTTGCAGTGAGCTGTGATCATGCCACTGCCCTCATGCCCAGGCAACAAAGTGAGACCCTGTTCATATATATATCAAAAAAGAGAACTGAGGCCTTTACTTCAACACCACTGGAGGAATTGAATTCTGCCAGCTACCACCACATGGGGCGGAAGCAGATCTTTCTACAGTCGAGCCCTCAGATGAGATTCCAGTCCAGCCAACACCTTGCTAAGAGCCTTGTGGGAGATCTGTGAGCAGAGGGCCCAGCTGAGCCATCTCTGACTCCTGACAATCAGAGATGTGTTTTAAGATGCTGAGTTTGTGGCAGTTTATTACACAGAGATAACACATTGTCCTTCACAGACAGCTTACAACACGCCAAGCAGACTGCATATATTCCTGCTTGATCTTCCTGACAGAGCTGTGTGTGGGCAGCGCTATCCGCATGGAAAACTGAGGGGCCCAGGATGATTTCAGGCAACCTGGCCAAGAAACCTTGATATCTCTATGGGCAAAATCACAGTACTTTACGAACCTTGCCATGAAATTGAGAAAAGCAGACCCCTGACTTTGCAAGAGTATCTTGCCTCACCTGAGAAGGCAAGAACTGCAACTAGGACACAGAAGTCAGTTCCTCTGAGTGTGCAAATCAGTATAAATAGAAAGATTCCAGAGAAGCAGAACTTTCCAAGCCGAATTCCCTTCCCAGCAGGGAAAAGCTGCAGAAAGTGTATATCAGAGAACAGACACTACCTTCATATCCAATTTTATTCTCCTTTCTTTGGTGTTCAATGCTCAGGGAGTAAAT